GAGAGTACATGGGGGGGGAGGGTCAGAGGGAGAAGCAGACTCCCTGCCGAGCAGGGAGCCCGATGCGGGACTCGATCGCTGGACTCCAGGATCATGACCTGAGCCGAAGGCAGTCGCTTAACCAACTGAGCCACCCAGGACCCGAGCTAGAGCTTATTTAAAAAAAAAAAAAAAAAAAAGAGTATGTTATGTTGGGACCCACAAATTTTGGTTTGAAACCCATCTTTGGAGGCACCTGAGTGGCTCAGTTGGTTAACTGTCTGCCTTCAGCTCAGGTCATGATCCCAGGATCCTGGGATGGAGCCCCGCCTCAGGGAGGGGGGGGGGTCCCTGCTCAGCGGGGAGCCTGCTTCTCCCTCTCCCTCTGCTGTTCCCCCTGTGCTTATGCACTCTCTCTCTCTGTCAAATAAATAAATCTTAAAAAAAATAATCTTTTTTATCAATTAGCTGTGTGATCATGGACTAGTCTCTTCACCTCTTGGAGCCTTGGTTTTCTAAACTTTAAAATGGGAAAATATAAAATGGGAATATATTGTAAGAATTTAAAGCATCCAGGGGCGCCTGGGTGGCTCAGTCGGTTAAGCATCTGCCTCTTGATTTCGGCTCATGTCATGATCTCAGGGTCACAAGACTGAGCCCCACGTCCAGCTCGTCGCTAGACATGGAGCCTTCTTAAGATTCTCACTCTCCGTCTGCCCCTCCCCCACTTCCTCCCTCTCTTAAAAAAAAAAAAATTAAAAGCACCTACGACACTATACCAGCAGAGAGCAGGAGCTGAAGCAATGGCAGCTTTTAATACAATGTAATACTTATAGGATGTTAAAAATGATAATTATTAGAGCCTTGTAATGATCCACGAGATTAGGGAAAAAAAGGGGGGCAGGGTAACTTTCTCCATTTTGAAGTTCTAAGAGGGGAAGCCCAGAGCTTGCATTTCCTAAATCCTGGCTGCCTGACCAGAAGAGGTGTCTTTTCACTTACGATGGCACTTTGCCCCTGTGTGAGTGGTTCCCTCCTGAGGGCTCTCGGATGGGTAGGTCTGTCTTGCCTCTGCCCACCTTCCTGTAGTTGGTTGCCAGGTGGCTCCAGCACAAAAGTCGGAGGCCAGCACTAATGAGCCAAATGTGTGGGTTCGAACTCTCCACTACCAGGAGAAAGATTTTGTTTTTACGCAAATAGTTTCCCCAGCTGAGCCCCAGGTGAACTTGGGGAATGGCTGGTTCCTCTAGAATGGATCTCAAATGCATAGTGAAGCCCTTTTTTTTTTTTTTTTTTTTTTTAAGATTTTATTTATTTGAGAGAGAGCAGGAGCAGGGGAGAGGGGCAAAGGGAGAGGGAGAAGCAGGCTCCCCACTGAGCAGGGAGCCATGCGGGGCTCAATCCCAGGACCCTGAAACCATGACCTGAGCCAAAGGCAGACGCTTAACCAACTGAGCCACCCAGGCGCCCCTTGGTGAAATCTTCATACTCTTAAGACATGCCAGTAAAATGCAGAATGAATTTCAGCCCTGCCCCATATGGCAGGGGCTCAGGGCAGCCCTCTCTGCCCTGAGCTCCACACCTGTCTTCCGAAGCTTAGCCCAGCTCCTACCTCCCATAGGTGTCGGAGACCTGTGATGCTGTGTTTGTGTCTGGCAAGGAGAGCCAGGGCGCCCGCGGGGTGCGGGTGGACTTCTGGTGGCGCCGGCTGAGGACCTCGCTGCGACTGACAGTGTGGGCCCCGCTGCTGCCCCTGCGCATTGAGCTGACCGACACCACCCTGGAGCAGGTCCGAGGCTGGAGGGTGCCCGGCCCAGCTGAAGGGTGAGTGGGGGCCTTGGCGAAGTCGCTCTGGGACCCGAGAGATGGTGCAGGGAACACAGCCATGGGCTCAAGCTGGGATCTAAAAACTGCCCTGTTGCTTCCGTCCCTCCTGCCCACCTGCCTGTCCCCACCCAGCCTCTGGCCATTTTGTGATCGCCAACCTCCACACTCTCCCCCTCCCATGCCACACTTCTCCGAAGTACAGATCACTTCCTAATTACTGGACCGCCTGATTCATCTTGTTTGTGGTCTGCCCACCGCCTTCACTCTCCTCCCTGAGACTTTAAGACCTGGAAGGCGAGGGGTTTTGTCTATTCTGTTCACTGCTGCGTCCTCAAAGCCTAAGATGGCACCTAGCTCAATAAATATCGAGAGGGTCCCACCGGAGCCCAAGGGCGAGGTGGCCTCAGGAATCTGAGCCAGGCCCCCCAGACACTGAGCACTGCAAGGTCTCCCCCTCGGAGAGGGTCTCCCCGCCTCCCCAAGAGCCAAGAATTCAGATTAAGAGCAAGAGGAGGGCGAGAGCGGCTTGATGGACAGGCATAGGCACCAATTAGGAACGGCGGCGCCGCGCGGACACGCAGAGGGGCAGCTATGCCAATTTGAAGAATGCGCGTCCCTTAGGAGCTGGGGCGGGGGGGGGGGGGGTCTCCAGAGGGCGGGGCCCTCAACGGCTGGGGGCGGAGCCCGAGCTGACGCCCCGCCCCCGGGCCTGTCCGTCCTGCCCCACCCCCACCTCCCCAGAGTGCTGGAACCCGAGGCTGCTGCGGTGGCGGAGGAGGCCGAACGGCGCGCCCGGGGCTGCCGCCTGCAGTACCAGCGGGCCGGCGTGCGCTTCCTTGTCCCCTTCGCGGCCCACCCACTGGACGGTGGCCGCCGCCTCACCCACCTGCTCGGCCCCGACTGGCTGCTGGACGTGTCCCACCTTGTGGCGCCGCACGCACGCGTGCAGGACCCGCGCGTAGCCTCGCTGGAGGGCGGCCGCATCCTGGTGGGCCGGGAGCCCGGTGTCACCTCCATTGAGGTGAGCAGACCCTCATGAGAAGGGCATAGATGGCCCCCAGAATGTTCATGGGCAGGTATGAAGAGTGTCAGAACAGGCCCAGGGTGTACCTGGGCAGGTATGAGCCCAGCGGGATTGGAGATTGGGTGAGAATAGGATGGGGGACACCCTCAAAGCATGAAGGGCTGGGGTTGGGTATGGAGGGACCAGGCCTTGAGAGAGGAGGGAACTGTTCCCTAGGCATGGGGGTCCCAGTATGTATAGGTCGTATGGAGTGCAAAGGGTGGGGAAAAGCAGCATGTGCAGATGATGAGGCTCAGACCGGAGAGGCTCTCTGTGTACTTGCCCCCCCACAACTTGCAGCTCCCTCTCACCCTCAGGTGCGTTCCCCACTGTCTGACTCCATTCTCGGGGAGCAGGCATTGGCTGTGACGGATGACAAGGTCTCGGTGCTGGAGCTGCGGGTGCAGCCGGTGATGGGCATCTCACTGGCCCTGAGCCGGGGCACTGCTCACCCCGGGGAGGTCACAGCCACATGCTGGGCACAGTCAGCCTTTCCCGCCCCAAAGCAGGTGACAGCCAGGGGTTCAGGGGGATGAGCTCAACATCGCCAGGTGGGGGCTAATGACAGGGGGATGGGAGGCACCTGGACCCCTCACCTTAGGGTTTTCAGAATGAGGACTGACTGCCCTGTGAGGTAGTGAGCTCTCTGCGGCTGGAGGTGATCAAGCAGTGGCTGGCTGGAGTGTGGCAGTGGGAGGTTGGTTAGATGGCTCTGAGGACCCTCCCGATGACTCAGACCCCAGGGCTGAGTGGCAGACAGGTGATTGACGCATGTCCCCTCTCTCCCTGTGTTTTGTCCATCTGCCCATGTCTGTTTTCTCTCTGATCTCTCCTCCTTCGTTCCATGTGGCCTGTCTCTGTGGGAGTGGTCTCTGTGTGCATGCGTGCGTGCCCTCGCATGTCTCTGCCTGTGTCCGTGTGCCCCACAGGAGGTGGCCCTCTCCCTCTGGCTGTCCTTCTCTGACCACACCCTGGCCCCCGCTGAGCTCTACGACCACCATGACCTGGGACTATCTGTCTCAGCCGAGGAGCCCGGTGCCGTCCTGCCAGCCGAGGAGCGGGGTGCCCAGCTCGGGGTGGTGGTGAGTGGGGCAGGTGCCGAGGGGCTGCCCCTGCATGTGGCTCTGCACCCGCCTGAGCCCTGCCGCCGGGGCCGCCACCGTGTGCCCCTGGCCTCTGGCACCGCCTGGCTAGGGCTGCCCCCTGCTCCCACCCCAGCCCCTGCCCTCCCATCCAGCCCTGCCCGGAGCTCACTGGCCACCGAGGCCAGCATGGGTGGTAAACGATGGGAGGCAGGTGGTGTTGGGGGCAGCGGGGGTGTGAGAGGCAAGTTTGAGCGGGCAGAGGAGGAGGCTGGGAAGGGGGCAGAGGCTGGAGAGGAGGAGGAGGAGGAAGAAGAGGAGGAGATGGTCCCCGCCCCACAGCGGGTCACCGACCTAGAGCTGGGCATGTATGCTCTGCTGGGCATCTTCTGTCTGGCCATCCTCATCTTCCTGGTCAATGGTGTGGTCTTCGTGCTGCGCTACCAGCGCAAGGAGCCTCCCGACAGTGCCACCAACCCTGCCTCCCCCCAGCCCCACAACTGGGTCTGGCTGGGCACTGACCAGGAGGAACTGAGCCGCCAGCTGGACCGGCAGTCCCCCGGCCTGCCCAAGGGGGAGGGGGGCTGCCCCTGCGAGACTGGGGGCGGAGGGGAGGCCTTGCCCGTGGCCCAGGCACCTGCTGGGGGCACCACCAGCTCCTCGAGCACCCTGGCCCGGAAGGAAGCCGGGGGGCGGCGGAAGCGGGTAGAGTTTGTGACGTTTGCGCCAGCCCCCCCAGCCCAGCTGTCTGAGGAGCCCGTAGGGGCCCCTGCCGTGCAGTCCATCCTGGTGGCGGGTGAGGAGGACATCCGCTGGGTATGTGAGGACATGGGACTGAAGGACCCCGAGGAGCTACGCAGTTACATGGAGAGGATCCGGGGCAGCTCCTGACCCTCCCCAGCCCGCCTGGCCCGGCACTGTCGGCCGCCAGCCCGGGCAGCTTCCTGCTCACCCTCTGGTGCTTGCGGATCCAAGTCCCCTGCCTGGCCTCTCAAAAGGATGCCCACCCAGGCCCCCTCTGCCCTGCCCGCCCCCGTCATGGACCATGCTCGTGAGGAAGGGCTTACGCCCCTTATTTATGAGAACCATTTCATCCTAATGTTGGGTACAGAATAAACTCAAGGAACCCCCACTGGGACTGTGGCTGTCTGTGTCCTGGGGAGAGAAGGGAAGGCGGGGGGGAGGAGGCAGGTGGGGGGAGGGTGTTCAGCCCCTATCCCTGCTGGGACAGCTCTGGGAGGTTGGGCCCTGAGCTACCCTCTTGTAGCGGCCAGCGATCCAGATAAACAGGAGGGCCGTGGCGGCCTGAATGCAGGCCAGCAGGAAGAAGTAGAGGTCCATCCGGCAATTGTTGATGTTCCCTGGGGAAAGGAGGGGTTGGCATGAGGGTCGGGCAGGGCTTCCCCGAGACTGGCAGCGTGGGCAGTGGGTGGGCAGACAGCCCTCTCACACCTGCCGGTCGCCAGGGTTTCCTGTGCTGCCGGCAAGTCCCTGTGGGCTATTCTTTCAGGGGTTTAAAACACAAAGACCCCAGAGAAAGGTGACCCTTCAGCCAGAATGACAGACTTCCAGAAGCAGGAAGGAGACTTGGAGGTCTGCCAAGTTCACAGATTCCTTTTTGACAGTTAGGGAAACTGAGGCCCAAAGCGGGGAGGCCACGTTGTGGGCGACTGGCCAAGTTCAGGCTAGAACCCAGTTCTCCTGAGTCCAGCCTGCCACTTCGCTCTGCCTGGGGTCAAAGCACTTAGTAGTTGCCACCGCCTTTCCAAGCCTCCCACCACCCACATCCCGCTCCCAGGGAGGGCCCCACACTCACCAAAGTCCTCGGGGCAGTAGAGCCAGCCCCCGGGCAGGGACAGCAGTGCCACAAGGCTGGAGCCCAACAGCGAGCCCACTCCCGACAGGCAGAAGAAGATGCCCATGATGGCACCCTGCATGGAGCGCGGAGCCTCGGAATATGCAAACTCCAGGCCTGCAGAGGGAGGGGGGAGAGCCAAGCGGACGGTGGAGGAGTAGAGATGAGGCCCACCCAGCCTCCATCCTGGCCTCCCCTGCATGACTGCCCACCACGTGGCTAGGACGACACCTGTGCCCCCGAGACCCCTTGCTCTGCCCTGCTCATTTATTCCCCTGGTTGAACACCTCCACCTGGATGCCCCCACATTGCTCTGTCTCCCCTCCTCCTCCTGGGTCTCCCATTTCAGGGATAGCACCTCTCTCTCCCCTACCCTGTCTGCCCGCCTTCAACATCATCACCAAATCCTTTTGATTTAGCCTCAGAAATATCATGTCTGCCCTCCCTGTTCCCTCTGCCCTGGGCCAAAGGGTGGCCCTGGTCTTTTAGTGCCCAGCCCCTGCAAATGCCTTTTAATCACCCCCCTGCTTCCTGTCTTCCTCCTCACACAGCTAGATGGGTCTGTCTAAAAAAATCTCTAATGGGATCCTTTCCTGCCAAAATCCCCATGGTCGTTGGGGGTGAGGGGCGGGGGGCCCTGTTGCCCTCAGGAGAGACTTCAACATCCATCCAGGTTTGGCCCCGTACCTCCCCAGCCTTCCGCACACTCCCTACAAGGCTTAGCTCTCCGCGTCTGCTGCTCCCCCTACCTAGGACATCCTGCTACCTGCTGAGTTCTGCCTTCTCTGCCCACCTGCCCCTCCCCCACCTCGTCCCAGGGACTTTCCCTACACCCTAGAGCCACCACTATAGCCCTCCCCTGGGTTTGCTGTCTGCGTGACTGTCCCCCCAGCTCTGAGTGAGTCCCACCAGAACCTAGCCCCGGGCCTGCGGCTGACTAGCTGCTGCTTGGCTGAATGAAGAGCCCACCCCCACCCCACAGCTCTGGCTCACAGCCCGGCAGCGGGGCACACAAACGTGCTGCATTCTTACAGCACAGCGACCCGGGTGCCGCGATGGAGATGAGCGAAAGGAGGCTAGAAGGACTCCCTCTGCCCAGGGGCCTCGGAGAGGGCTTTATGGAGGAGTTGACATTCAGGCTCAGCAGTGAAGGGGAAAGAGGAGTTCACTTTGAATCTGAGGCACGGGGAACTGCAACCACGCAGACACAGGGGATGAAGGACAGGGCACCAGGGACGATGTGGGAAGTCGGTAGGGAGTGCCTTAATCACCTGCAAATCTCCAGGGCCGATCACAGTGCCTGGCACAAAGCGGGTGCTAACAAGTCTCCACTGGGTGAATGCGGCCCCACTCAGAAAACCTGGCCTTCCTCCACACCCACGAACTCCGGAAGCTGTGCCCGTGAGACCTCTGACTTCGAGGCAGCACCAGGCAGAGCCCATCACTGGTGCGAGAGCAGGGGAGGGGTCCAGGGTACCTGGGATACTGGCAAAAATCTCACTGATCCCGATGAGCAGGTACTGAGGGATCTGCCACCAGATGGACAGTGGAGCTGCGTAGTACACATCCTTCCCGATCTGCTGGGACACCGTCTGGTTGCGATGGATGTACTGTAAACGCTCCATCTCCAGGCCTCCTGGTGGGGGACAGGGGGGGACTATAAATAGCCAGGCCCACCATCCGCAGCTTAGCCCAGGGCAGAGCTTGGCACATGGAAGGTATTCCCTAGGTAGCCTGTGACAGAGCAGCAGGAAAGGAGAAGGACACTGGCCTGGGGGCACGGTGGAGGTCCAAGATACGAGTTTCAACTCTGACTTTTGCCTTGGCTGCTAGGAAGCTCAGAATGAGGTTTTCACTCATGAACAGGACCAGCTTGCATTAATTGAGAGCCTGTTATGTGCTGGGCATTTAATATGCATTCTTGTAAATGAAGAAAGACAAATTTAGGTTAAGCAACCAACCCAGGGTCACCCAAGTTGATGAGCATAGTTGGGGTCTGATTTTACAACTGACCCTATTTCCCTAATATCACGAGACTTCTCTACTATAGCATCCAGAAGGGTTTCTAACCTGGCTTTCAAGCTTACTTTTATCTCCTTCCCCTTCGTTGCTTAGAAGACACTGGATGTGGTGGGAGGAGACGCAGGTTCCAATCCTGAGCCCTGGCACTGGTTAGCTGTGTGACCTTGAGCAAATCACTTAACCTCTCTGAGACCCAGTGCTGTTACGCAAGAAGTAGGAATAAAAATCCTCGGATTGTTGTGGGGATGAACTAGGACAAAATGCATTAAAGCGTGGAGCTGAAAAAGAGGCTAGTTTGGTTTTCGTCCTTGCAACACAATACTGGTTTTTGAGCTTTGAGTCCCCTGGGTCCTCCTCGTGATCCAGACACAGTGCTGGGTGTCTCACAGACTTCACCTTTTTTAATCCTCACAACGCTCCTGCTAGACCACATTCCATGAGGGCAGAACTCGGGTCCTGCACCGGGGCTGAACGAATTACTATCCCCATTGCAGAGTCGGGGCTCAAAAACACTAAGTCACTTCAGGATCACTAAGTTACCGAGCGTAAGGGACGGAGGTTTGTGCAGTAGCATGAAAGGCTTCTTTACCAGAGCCCCTTTGTCATAAATGGGCTTCAAAGCCTTTTGAACTAGAAGAAGGAAGAGAATAAATGATAAACTCTTTAAAAAAAAAAGTGGCTGAGTGTCTGAAAAATTCTTCAGCACATTGATTGGGTGCCCATGTGCATTATTCATAGCAGTGAATGAAAAAGAAAAAAAAAAAAAAAACCTGCCTTCAGGGAGCTTACATCCCACAGGAGAAAATCTTTTTCCCTCTCGTGGCCTGAGTTCCCTCATCTGTCAAGACGAGGGAAGGCGGGACTAGAGGAGGAGGGTCCCCTTCAGCTCACAGTCCCTGGGAAGCCAAGACGGATGCCCATGGCGGGAGGGTGTGCGCGGCGGGGGCCAAGGTTCCAGCATCAGCTCCAAGTGGAGCCGGCCTCCCTCCCGCGTCCCTCCACTCGGGCCCACACACCTGCCACAAGGACGGAGGCAAAGCCGAAGAACATCCCCAGGGCCATCTTCTGCAAGGCCGAGGGAAGCAGCTTGCACTGCTGCAGTAAAGGGTCGAGCAAGTGGTCCTTCACAGGCACCAGGATCAGCACCACCACGACGTTGGCCAGGAGGAGCCAGGCTTCTGGGATCTGGGCAAGAGGAGGCCAAGCAAGGCAGGCTAGCAGAGCAGAAGGCGCTCTGGGCGGGAGCTGGGGGTGCTGGCCTCCGGACTGTCCCTGGTGACCCAGGGTAAGCTCTTTCCCCTCTCTGGAATGCACCTTCCTCAGCAGGGTGAGTCGGGGATGGGATTAAATCAGAAATGGCAAATCGGTTCCTCTGGCTTCTGTCGGTGGGTGGTAGCTGCCTGGAACATTCTCAGGCTCAGCATGAAAACGTGTCAAGATGGATTAGTGATGTCTGCCCTGGGCAAGGAATGGAGGTATAGGGGCAAAGGTCATTGCTCTGCCAGCTCTGAGGATCTTTGATGTTATGAGTCTTGGAAATGCCAAGGACCTGATTTGGAAAGTTCTGGTGAAAGACAGACATCTGGGCATCCAGGGTTCCCAGAGAGTGAGGGAAGTCAGGGTAGAATTGAGGGACCCGAGTGCACCTTGCAGGCCCTGAGGCCTGCCTCAGAACAGCAGTGGGTGGGAGCGAAGCTGGCCTGAATTCTTGGGCTGGGGCCCAAGTGTACCCATCTTCCTGGGGCTTTTCATGTTCCCTGAGGAACCCCTGCACCTGGGCATGGAAACTTCATTTCCTTCTGTTTGCAGAGGAGGCTCCCAGCACCGCCTGCTGTGGGGGCTGAACACACGCCTGGTCTCTTACCTTGTAGCTGCTGCGCTGGGCTCTCAGAGCCATGGAGCTGTTGGCAGGGTGGTCTGGGAAAATGTTCGGGATGCGGAGATGAAGACCCTGCAGGACATATGTGGACTGCATCTGCCAAGAGAGATGGAGCCGTGGCTGGAACAGAGCTGGCCACCTCACCTCCAGCCCAGGAGACCGCCAGCTCCTAGATGGGCATTCTTCGGAAGGAGCACAGGATAGCTGGGCAGCTGTCCTCTCTGGGACGTGACACCCCTACTCTCCTTCCTCCTCAGGAGCCAGGCTCGGTCGGGGAGCTTCCTTCGCCCTGCTCCCAGGCCCGTGAGCTCTGTGTGCAACCTGATCCCAGAGCCTGGGCACAGCTGGTCTGACTCACATTTGGTGTCTCCAGGGTCTGGCACAGAGGAGGCGTGGAGAAATGTTTGTTGACATGGGGAAGATAATGACATGGCTGTCCCCACAGAGAGCTCTCATTTGATACTGAGGCCAAGCTGCGTCCCACGGGCTGACAGCATAGGCCCTGCATAGGCATCCGCCCACCAGAATGGCTCTGGGCAGAGCTGAAGGGTCAGGCTCAATGCAGGGGGATCCGGGAGAATCCCCCAGGAGGGTTTGGGGTGGGGGAGGACACTCGGGTTGCTCAGGACAGCAGCTATGGACCAGCAGCTGGTGTGTAAGAATGTCAGTATTCTGAGAATCGGCCGTGGACACACACACACACACACACACACACACACACACCCATGTCCCTGTCCCCTTGCCTCTGTGTCACCCCCAAGTAGCAGGCTGGCCCTGCATAACCCCCATCTTCTATAAACGCAAAACAAGCTTCCTAGGAAGGGGGTATGGAAGGCAAAGACCTTGTCGTCTGGGGATTAGAAGTTGGGGTTAGGCACCCTCAGGAGGTGGTGGGAAGCAGCGGGTCTCAGACCTGGCTGAGTACCAGTCTCCCCTGAGAAGTTTATCACTCTAGAGACTTCCCCAGCAATTCTTTCAGTAGTCTGGGGTGGGACATGGAATCAATTTTAAAGGCTCTGCAGGTGGTTCTGAAACACAGCCCGGGTGGGGGATCACCACTGTGAAGTATAGGACGCTCTGAGCTTACCCTTAACTGGCTGTGGGGCATTGGGCAACTCTGGGCCTCAGTTGCCACGCCAACGAATCTGACTGTTCTAGAGCTCTGAGAGCCTCCAAGCCACCCGACACATGAGGCCCAGACAGACGGGGTGACATTCGAGGCACTGGGCCTCAGACCCGTCTCCAGAGTTCCTCATGCTATTCATTATCGGGATGGCTTTGTGCCAGGCCCCACATAGCCCCAAGTCACACTGTGAACCCCTGCCTCCCTTTCCACATGCTCTGGGCTTCTATGGTGAGAGCTGAGGCCCGTCAGGGGACCGGGGAGCCCGTGCCCCCAGAGTGAAAGGGCCGGGTGCTCACCTGGAAATATACCATCCAGTAGGGCACCAGAGTCACCATGACGGGCAAGATCTTCACCAGCACCTGGAAGTTGGCCATGTCCTCTTGGGGGGAAGGGCCAGGCTGGGGAGACCTCTGGTCAGGCAGTGGTTGGGTGCCTTGAGGGTCTCTGTGGGGCCAAGGGGGGGACGGCAGATAAATAGCAGCCCCACTGCCATCATTATCCCCTAATTTAATCTTGCTCCCCTATCACCAGTGACTTTAGCCATCACCTCCGAAATCACTCATCTCCTCCCTCCACCATGAGCATCACCTTCTCCATCATCATCATCATCATCATCACCCTCCTCGCCATCATTGTTGTTAGTGAGGCGATCGCCCCCCAAAGCCAGCCTCCCGCCGACTGTTCATTACACTCCTTGTCACTGTCCTCACTCTCCCCTCCTTTCTCACACAGGTGGCTGATCAAGACCCCTCCCACCCTGGAGCTGAGGCCCAGTGGTCTGGGGGAAAGTAGACTAGGGCCTGTGGCAAGTGGAGTGTTGGGGGATTTTTGGCCTCACAGCATCCGCATGCTGTGGGAAGCAGGGAAGTCCCAGTCGAAGCCTGACTCAGAGAGAGAGGTCAGCCTGGGTCTGATATACGCCAGAGCTCCCCCACTTGCTGTCTCCAAGTCCACCCTCTTCAACAGGGCAACATTATAGTCCTCTCCCTACCTGACAGACGAGGAGGGAGGCAGCCGAGAGGTAGGGGTGCAGGGGAAATGATCAGGAAACAGGATAGATCAACCACTGCTGTGACCTTCCCCCTTTGCCCTTTGTCCTGAACGGTTTCTAATCTCTTCTTGCTCTAGAGCCTTGCTTCATCCTTTGAGATGCCGAAAGGGGTAACATCAGTGCAGTCCTTTCCAAAGATGGGCCGCTATCAGCTTCTCCTCTCCCAGGATGCCACTCCTCCACCCATGGGCGATCCGCCCCCCTGCCCTGGAATCTGGGCCGGCCTTGTGGCTGACCCACAGAATGAGAGGAAGTGATGGCTCTGGGACTTCAAGCCCCGTAAAGGACTGATAGCTTCCGCCTCCTTCCCTTTGGAACCTTCACTCTTGGAAAGCTCCCTCCTCTTGCAACCCAGACACCTTGCCGCGAGGAGCTCCAGCCACAGGCGTGAGGCCACATGACGGGAGGGGGACCTGACGTGGACTGCCAGCCACATAAGTGAGCCATCTTGGATGTTCTAACCCCTTCAGGTCCCCAGATGACTGCAGCCCCCTCCTCCCTCCCAGTGACATCACAAGAAGGAGAAGAACTGCCCGGCTGAGCCCAGTCACCCACAGAATTGTGACAGGTAAGAAAACATGGTTGCTTAAGCCACTGAGTTCCAGGACAGTTTGTCGGCCTGCACTGGGTCGTTAAAACAAAACCCCACAGCAATGCACCAGCTTGGACAAACATGTCCTGCCCCTTTTCCATCTAGAGCCTACTGACAGGCTCTGTAACCGGCTCCAAGGTCCGGACACAGGTTTGCTTAGCATAAGTCGTCAATTCACTTCAGGAAGGTCAGGGGCCATAGGAAGCCGGTGTGTATGTGTGTGTGAAGCTGTTCAGAACCTTCCGCCCTGGGATGCAGGCTAATGGAGGGGGGGCAAGTTTGGCTGATTTCTTAGACTTTCTTTTTCTTCTTTTTAAAAGATTTTGTTTATTTATTCGAGACAGAGAGTGGGAGAGGGAGAGAGCCCAGGCAGGGGGGCGGGGCAGAGGGGGAGGGAGAAGCAGGCTTCCCGCTGAGCAGGAAGCCCCACTCGGGGCTCGACCCCAGGACCCTGAGATCATGACCTGGGCCGAAGGCAGATGCTTAACCAACTGAGCCACCCAGGCGCCCTCTTAGACTTTTTATACTTAACACCAGCGTGGCATTGGATTACTTATATTATATCCCAACGGCCTTGGCTGGTACCATTGCCTCCATCATCATCCCCACTGCCGTTGTCGGTCACCACCGACTTATCTTCGCTGCAGCTGCTAACGAACACCTCCACCTCGACCTCGACCATCATTGTCAAGACCACGAACAGCCTCCCACTTTCTACAGTTAGTCCATCAGTACCGCCGCCACCACCACCTTGACCTCCGTCACCATCCTCAGTCACAGCGGTCCGCTGTGGCCCGGGCACAGCAGGTCGTCATAAAGGGCCACCACGGGAGCTGACCCAGAACGTTCTTCCACCTGCACCGTGCCTCCCCGGGAGGAGCATGGCACGCCTCCAGGCTCCGTGGCCCCCTTCCCCGGGAGCCCCTTTCTTACCTGGCAGAGTGTCGGTGCGACAGCCGGGGACAGCAGTTTTGGAGAGCGAGTTTAAGCATAGAGGACACTTGGCTGCCTGTGGGGGGCTTGGTGATGAAGATGGGGGTGGCAAAGAGGAAGATGAAGAAGGCCAGGCCCAGGCAGCCCACGATGATGCTATAACCCAGCAGGAAGTCGATGTTCTGTTGGATAAAGGCCACCACCAGCAGCGACAGCACGGCGCCCACGTTGATACTCCAATAAAGCCAGTTGAAGAAGCGACGGCTGGCATGGCGGCCAAGATCCATCACCTGCAGGGCAGGGATGAGAGTAAGGGAGGTCCAGGGGCACCCTGCCACGATGTCCCTGCACCCCTTTTCCCACAGAGGCACTTCCTGGGTCGGAACTTTCCTGGCCCCTGGTCACTAAATAGACACTCAGTACATATTGGTTGATTGAATGAATAAACCTTTCCCTTGGGAGTCACTTGTTAATGATCAGGACAGTTTGGCAGAGCTGTTTTTTCATGCCCATGGCACACAGTGCTTTTTTATTTTCACCAAGAGTGCATACAACAGATGTCTCTGATGCCACTTTGTTCATTTCTGGTTGATTTATTCTTTTGTCTTTGACTGAACAACCTACAGTATGTATCACCTTTATAATCAGAAGAAAGCCAGTAAAGATCAGGTCTGTTTCACATTACTAAATATGATGTATGTGTATTACTGAAAGAACAGTTTAAAGTTTAATTGAGAATTTCCTCTGCAACTTGGAGATGCAGAGTTTTCTACTGTGGCCCATTGGCCCATCCCTTCCTCTCCTTTTGCTCCCTCTGTTATATGCCCAGTCAAATAAGGTTGGCATATCAGGGAAAGCAGGGGCGATCTCGGACACAGCCCCAAGAGCGGGTTCTGGCCTGATGAAAAAAAAAAAAAGGCCCCCCAGCAAGGGCAGAAAGACTGAAAATCTTTACCCAGGATTTAGATCAATCTGCAACAGTCAGGCCCCAGGCCCCCTTCCGGTCTGCTGGCTCGGGGCAGCTGCACTGGCTGATCCCACCTCTCACAGACCCTGGTCCCAGATTCTGACCCAGCAGGTCTGGGGCAGGGCCCAGGTGCCTGCATTTCTAAAAAGCAGTGAAGACTAGAGGTCAATTTTCAAGGTGATTCTGTATGCTGTTACACCCGTCACCCTTTCAACAAACCAACGCATCTCAAAATCCACTTTTCTCCTTTTTGTCAAGCTTTACGTTCTGTAATTGCATTGGGGAAAAGATAAGTATTTATTTTTCCTTTTCCAAAGGTAAAATTATAGTCCATACAGATGCATGCCCTTAGAGACTCTGAGGGGTCCTCTAGGCATTGCCCGGAGAGGACCATGTCCACACGATGAAAATGTTTGCTGTAGACTTTCGAGCAGAAAATTGAATAAGTCCCATTATGTGCAGGCACTTCCATTTATTAATTGGATGTAAATGAATATGACAATCGCAACTCTAAGGGGAAGACCAGGCAGCCCATTCAGGATATAAATGAGCTCTCCCAAAATGAGCACTTTGTCAAGAATGATGGATGGCCCTTTTTGAAATCAGCAAGTGTGTTAAAAACGCGGCTCCTGGGTATGGCTGTCTGCCAGATGGTGCCAACCCTTCCCACCCACACACCCTCCATCTGACTGTGCCCCTGAATTCTGCAACAGCCCCTCACTGCTTTGGTGTACCTGCTCCGGTTACCCACCCACTCTCCACTGTAGCCAGAGACATTTTTTAAAGAACTCAAATCCAGTGATGTCCACCCCTGCCTGAAATCATTTCAGGGTTTCCAACCTGTCCTATGGGTCAGGTTCAGACCCCCTAGGGCAGCCTAGGGCACCTGTAGGTGTAGTGGACGTCAATGAAAGAGTAGAATGAAGGGAAGAAGAGAGATTCCTATTGGCAGATGTTGGGGGTCTCCTAATCCAAAGGAAGGTCAACAGTAGCTGAGGAATGGACAGGCCTCCCTGTGGGCACCAAGTCCCCCATCATCAAAGGAACCCAAATAGGCTGGATGAGTCAGTCCTTGGTAAGGACACTGGAAAACATGTAAGATGTTGAACTGTGGGTGGCAGCTGGATGCAATGATTCTTTGAAAATGTTCCCTTTATGATGGTGAATACATACAATTAAAGAACATTTGAAGAACAGAGGCGAAAGGGAGAAGTACAGTAAGTCCTGTGATCTGATCACACTGTTATTACAGTCTTTTCCGGTTTCTCCTTTTAGCTGACTCCTACTCTTTCATAGGGCTGTAATCATATTCTGTACTCAGTTCTGCCTTGCTTTTGCTCACTAACACCACATGTGGTTGTTTTAATCCTATTACATATTACTTAAACGTATTGTCTAATATCCCACTGAGTAAAGCTATCAAAATATAGCCATATCGTTAGGCCTTCGCTCTTTCATTCGGTAAACACTCACTGAATTTCTCCTGTGTGCCACGCCCACTGTCCAAAAGCATACAGAGAAAGGCTCAGAAGTTGAGATATTTGCCCAAGAGCTCCTGGCTAGTGAGTGGCAGAGCTAGGATCTGAACAAGTCTGCGGGACCCCCACCTCTGGCGCTGCTGGTTAGGAAGGGGCTTACTCCTTCCTTAGCCCCCAGATCCCTAGGGCACGTAAAGCTGGGGCTTGTGGTGGGGCCTGAAGTCCAGCTACCCTTCCTACTCCTTGACCTGCTCTCTCTGTGACCTTGGACAGGTTGATTCATATCCTGAAACCTCAGTGTCCTCGTCTGTAAAGTGGACATAATAATACCACCTACCTCCTGGGTAGTTAAGAGGATGAAAGGAGTGAAAACCTCGAAAGCAGCGCAGAGTCCAAGAAAACCAACTACGGTTATCACCATGGTGGCCATCGATATTGTTTGAGTCAGCGCCCCCTCTTCTTTCCAGTAAGGAAACCGGGAGCAGCGAGGGGAAGCGGTTTGTCTGAGGTCGCTCCTGGCTCTCGGCCTCGGCCCCCACGAGCCTCGCGGGCCCTGCGAGCCTCCCCGGGCCTCGCGGGGCGCGGGGCGCGGGGCGCGGGGCGGCCCGCCCGCCACTCACCTGGTCCGCCCCGAAGGAGGTGAGGTTGCTCCTGATGGAGCTGGCGGCCAGGGCGAGCAGGAGCAGCCCGGAGTAGAGGGTGGGCGCGCAGTACGGGGTGGGCGACACGCGCGTGCAGCCGGGCGACGGGCAGGCGGGCCCCAGCGGCGACGCGGGCACCTCCCCGCAGAAGGAGCGGCGGCCGTCCCCGAAGGCGGTGGCGGGCAGCAGGCTGGAGGCGACCAGGTAGAGCAGCAGGCTGAGCGTGACGGCGCGGTAGCGGCCCAGGTACGCGTCGGCCAGCCAGCCGCCCACGGGCGCCAGCAGGTAGGAGGCGCCCAGGAAGACGAGCGCGGCGCGGGACGCCTGCTGGCCGTCCCAGTGGAAGCTGGCGCTGTTGAGGTAGAGCACCAGGTTGGCCGAGATGCCGAAGAAGGCGGCGCGCTCCAGCGTCTCCACCAGCAGCACCGCGGCCGCCGCCGTCCGCCGCCACCGTCGGGGCGCCCGCGGCCTGCGCCCCAGCAGCGGCCGCCGCTCCTCCGCGGCGCCCGGCGCGGGCATCGTCCGCCTGCCGCCCTGCCCTGCGGCCCCGCGCGCTCAAACGGGGCGCCCTCCTTTCTCACCCCTTGCGGCTCCCCCGCCTTCCTGTCCCCTCTGCCTGTCTTTCTCCCCCCCACCCCCACCCTGGCCGCAGGGGCTGCCCAGTCTCTACCCCCGCCCCGTCCCTAACCCTCAACTCTGCCCTCTCTCCTCCATCCACCCCTGACGCTGCCGGCCCCCACTCTTTCTCCCCCTCCTCTCAACCCCACTGCCCCCGCTGCCGACCCTTCTTCGCCCCGTTTCTCTGCCCCTCCCCCTCCTTTCCTGTTGATCTCCCCGGTTGGTCGCCCCGGCTTGCTCAAGTGTCGTCCCTCCCACCCGGGACACCTGGCGTACACTCTGGGGAGGGGGCCCTCCCACGGGGCCCGCTCTGCCCCCAGCGGCCTGGCTGCCTGCTCCACCGCCTCCTTGCCCACCCCCCACGGCCTCCCCTGCCTCCCCTCCTCCCCTCCTCCCCGGCCCCCCGTGGCTCTCCCGTCCCGCTCAGCCTCTGTCCAGCTTTCTGCTTCTTGAGAAATTCTGGGCTCTCCTCGCTTCCTCTTTCTGTGGTAGGGCTGCGTCACATGGTGCTCTGGGGAGCTTAGGAGAAATGAAAGCCTGGGTCACAGGGTCTCTGCCTGCCCAGTTTTCTAAAAACTTCCCTCCCAGCCTGCTCTTCCTACCCCCACCTCTGGAGCCTGGAGGAATAGTTTCCATCTTTCGCTTTCACTTCTTCCCTGGATCCCACTTGGGCTGCATCCTCTTCCAGTCACAATCCAAAGCGACAGCAACAGAACTGGAAATGCCATTTGCATCTTTTGGTTCCCCCCTCCGGGTCCCCAGGAAACTTTACAGATGCAGCGACTGAGGCCCACAAGGACCTGTAGGAAGGGAGGGTGGGGATGACTGCTCATGATAACTCAACTGGGGGTGAACCACCAATGGGGCTCTTGAGTGACAGGGGAAGCTCTCGGAATGCAATTCAGATTGTGTAACTGCTGTTGGGAGGAAGGAAGTGGGGTCACCTTCAGGAAGCATGTGGCACCATAGAGGGCCCACAAGGGAGTCAAGATTGGGAGCAGAGGGACCTCAGACTTCATCCAAACCAGGCTCAGCACTCCCTCCGCAGAGCCCCACAGCACGCCTCTGACCCCTGCCCTCCTCCAACCTCACCAGAGCCCCATAGCCACTCAAGTCCAGCCCCAGGGACCTTCTTTCTGCTCCCCTCACTGCTGAGCTCTGCCCTCTGTTAGAACTGCTCTTCCTCCCGAGCTCTGCATGGCTGCTCTCTTCTCTTTATCCGGATTTCAGCTGAAATGTCTCTTCTTCATAGAGACCTTCCTGGTGGACCTAAGTAGTTGCCTACTGGATTCCCTCCACCTGTCACTCTGTCTTGTGTTCGTGTCTTCAGGGCATGTAATACTCATCCGGTTACTGGTTTATTGTCTTCCCCAACAGAATAGAAGTTCCACTGGGTCAAGGACCTTGTCTTTTTTTTTTAAGAATTGATATTTTTTTTAGGGGCGCCTGGGTGGCTCAGTCAGTTAAGCGTCTGCCTCTGGCTCAGGTCATGATCCTGGGGTCCTGGGATGGAGTCCCCCATCGGGCTCTCTGCTCAGAGGGAATCTGCTCCTCTCTCTCCCTCTGTGATCGCTCTTATTCTCGCTCTTCCTCAAATAAACAAAATCTTTTAAAAAAGAGAATTAATGTTTTTTAGAGCAGTTTTAGGTTTACAACCAAATTGAGAGGGAGGTACAGAGATTGTCATATACCCCCTGCCCCACACATGCACAGTCTTCCCCATTATTAACATCACTCACCAGAATGGTACATTGTTACCAAAGATGAACTGACACTGACACATGATAATCACCCGAAGTCTATAGTTTACCTTAGGGTTCACTCTTGATGTTGTACATCCTATGGACAACTGTATGATGACACGTACCCACCATTATAATATCAAGTAGAGCATTTTCACTGCCTTAAACATCCTCTGTGCTCCACTTACTTATGTGCCTGCTCCCTACCCCCCACCACTCCCAACCCCTGGCAACCACTGAATTTACTGTCTTCATTTTTGCCTTTTCCAGAATGTGATATAGCTGGAATGGTGCAGTGGGTTGCCTTTACAGCTTGGCTTCTTTCATTTAGTAATACACATTTAAGATTCCTCCATGTCTTTCCATGACTCCAAACCTCATTTCTTTTGAGTAATTGTCTGGATGGACCAAAATGGATCCATTCACCTACTGAAGAGCATCTTGTACGCTTCCAAGTTTTGGCAGTTACAAATAAAGCTGCTAGCAGCTTCCTCGTGCAGGTTTTTGTGTGAATGTAATCTTTCAACTCCTTTGGGGAAATACCAAAGAGCAGGATTGCTGGGTCATATGGTAAGAGTATATTTTGTTCTGTACGAAACCGCCAAACTGTCTGCCAAAGTGGCTGTACCATTTTGCATTCTCCCCGGCAATGAAGGAATGAGTTCGGGTTGCTCCATGTTCTTGCTGGCCTTTGGCCTTGTGGGTGCTCTGGAGTTTGGCCATTTTAAGAGGCGTGGAGTGGTATCTTATTGTTGTTTTGATTTGCTCTTCCCTGATGACGTAGGATGCAGAGCACCTTTCCATATGCTCATTTCTAATCTGTTTATCTTCTTCAGTGAGGTGTCTGTGAAGGTCTTGGCTCATCTTTTAATGTGGTTGTTTGTTTTCTTATTGTTGAGTTATAAGAGTTCTTTGTATATTTTGGGTAACAGCCCGGGTATCAGATGTGTCTTTTGCAAATATTTTCTACCTGTCAGTGGCTTATCTTCTCATTCTCTTGATGTTGTCTTTCCCAGAGCGGAAGTTGTTAATTTAACGAAATCCAGCTGGTCAATTATTTATTTCATAGCTCGCGTTGTATCTAAAAAGTCATCACCATACTCAAGGGTGTGTAGGTTTTCTCCTGTTATCTTCTAGGAGTTTCATAGTTTTGTGTTTTCATAGTTAAGCCCATGATACATTTTGAGTTAAGTTTTGTGAAGTGTATAAAGTCTGTGTCTAGATTCATTTTCTTGCACATGGATGTCCAGTTGTTCTGGCACCATTTGTTGAAGAGACTTGTCTAGCTTACCACTTGACCTCTCAAGAGCTGTGTGATCTTCATCGAGTTACTTAACCTTTACCGTTTCTTTATCTGAAAAGTGGAGAATGAAAAATACTTATACTACAGGCTTTTTTGTATCAAAATGAGATAACCCAGCCTGGTGGCTGGCATATCATAAGAACTCAGGAAATGTCTGCGCCTTAATTAACTAACAAATAAAACAAATGTTTAGAGATGGCTTACTATGTGCTGGGTGCTGTTCAAGGGGCTGAGGATACAACAGTGAACAAAATGGACACAAACCTGTGTCCTCGTGGAGGTGATGTTCCAGTGCTTGGGGTCATAGACAAGGAACCAAAGAAGAAAGGGGAATAAAACAGATCAGAAGGTGTATTTAATATCACATATAATAAAGGCTACAATGAAAAATAAAGTTGGAATGAGACACGGAGATGACAGTGGAGGCTTTTCACTTTTATTTATTTTTAAAAAAAGATTTTATTTATTTATTTAAGATTTTATTTATTTATTTGTCAGAGAGAGAGAGAGTGCGAGCAAGTGCGGGGGGTGGTGCAGAGAGAGAGGGAGAAGAAGCAGGCTCCCTGCTGAGCAGGAAGCCTGATGCGGGACTTGGTCCCTGGACCCTGGGATCATGACCTGAGCCGAAGGCAGATGCGTAACCGACTGAGCCACGCAGGCATCACCAGTGGAGGCTTTTTAGATAGGGTATAATATAATCCTAATTTATTATAAATCCAACTTTCTCAACCTTGACACTATGGACACTTCGGCCCAGATGCTGCTTTGTTGTGTTTGTAGGCTGCCCTGTGCATCGGAGGGTAGCTAGCGGTACCCCTCGTCTCTGTGAACAAGACACTACCCGTACTCCAGCCCCTCCGTTGTCACAATCAGAATGTCTCCAGACATTACCAAATGTCCCCTGGGGGCAGAAAACTGCTACTATACATACAGGTCTGCTGGGGAAGGGTGTAGTGGGCTTAATGGTGGCCCCTGAAAAGATACGTCCACAGGCTAATCCCTGGAACCTATGACTATTATCTGATATGACCAAAGATGCCATTAAATTAAGGATCTTGAGAGCAGGTGCTTATCCTGGATTATCCCGGTGGGCTCTAAACGCCGTGGACGAGTGTCCTCGTAAGAGCAAGGCAGAGGGAGAGGAGACTGAGCCACCCAGAAGAGAAGGCACTGGGAAGACAGAGGCCAAGAACAGATGTTGCAGCTGCAAATCCAGGAATGCCAAGGAGCTTGGGTCGCCATGACACGTGGTGGGGGGGCAAGGGACAGACGTCCCTACCGACATCCTGATGTCAGGCTTCTGGCCTCCTGAACTGTGAGAGGATCCATTTCTGGATCCACTTCTGTCGTCTGTCGCCAGATTTGTGGTACTTTACTAACAGCAACCACAGGAAACTAATCGGGAAGGTGTACATCATCAGCGAGAGGGTTTCAACATCGAATGTTCTGATGCAAGATTCAAATTGCCATAGGAGAATTTATGGAGCTGGCTGATGTTGGATGAGGGTGATCTCGTTTGCAGATCACACGAAGCTGGAAAAGTTGGCAAAACAAACAAACAAACAAACAACAACACAACAACAACTTTGGCCAGTGGACTCCAGACACCAGAAGATGTCCGCAGGGCAGTGGACAGATGTGAACGTCAGGCTCTCTCCATGGCGCGCTCAGCCCCACGTGGAAAGGGCCAGGATGACGTGGCTTAGTGGAAGCAGGACAAAAAACAAAATGAAACAAAACAAACAAACAAACAAAAGCCTTGGGGAGGGGCGCCTGGGTGGCTCAGTTGGTTGAGCGACTGCCTTTGGCTCAGGTCATGATCCCGGAGTCCTGGGATCGAGTCCCACATCGGGCTCCTGGCTCGGCGGGGAGCCTGCTTCTCCTTCTGACCCTATCCCCTCTCATGCTGTTTCTCTCTCTCTCTCTCTCTCAAAAAAAAAAAAAAAAAAA